GCCAGTAGGCCCGGAAATAGCCCTCAGTTTCAGGCTGAAAAGGCTCAGGCCTTTTTTAGGCTGAAACGATGCAGGGCCTGTGGGCCCCGGATGTCCGGCTTTTGGGCTGAACCGTCCTGGGGTCTGCAGGCCCTTATTTCCAGGACTTGAGCCTGAAATTCAGGCTTCCAGCCTGAACGACGCAGGGCGTGGAAAATGGCCCTCGTGTGCAGGCGCAGCATGTAACACACACACACACACACACACACACACAATTTTTTTGTGGAGTTTTGAATACCATAACAAAAACAAAAGTGGTGCTAAAACAACTGCCCTTCCATCGAAGAGGCAAAAACGTATCTTTCAAGCAACTGAAGGAAAGGGTCAAGTCGATGCAATTGATGGAAAACTGATACTAGCCAATGATAACAGACAGATGTCATCCATCATACTTGGCTTAAACTACCTGCATTTACGAATAGACTGAGCCTGTAAACAAGGGGGGCGTTGAGCAGTACACAAGCATTCTGGCAGAGGCCTGCCATGACCGTGAAAGAAGCTTTAGATCACTTCACTGCCGTAGGATTGTGATCTACACAACCAACAACCTCTGTGAGCTGTGTGACAGAAAACTGCCTGCAACGGCCAAGGTTTTGCCACACCAAAGTCGGGCAAACGACACGTTCAACGAAATAGGTTCAGGGAAAGTGTTGTTTCAAGGTTCATTCTTTACCTGCATCTCACCAGTGTGCATGTAGTACAGCAACCCTTTGTCCACCTTCTGCTCGTATCTTTCATTCACAATCGAGAGCAACAAATTTGGAACAATATAACACACAAGAAATTGGTTAACAATGAAATCTGGAGGAAGGCCAAATAATATAAAAACTTCTGCAGATCCACATATTCCTCGCAACACAACATCACTGAAGGAGAGCTGGCAGGTCACTCCCGTCAAGAAAACTAGATCTTGATGTCATGCAATGGGTGGGTCTCATTCCTGAGTTGCAAGCTGTGAGTGTAGACCTGGTTATCTCTGTCAGCATGCTGTTAAGATTGACCAAACATCGATGCGCACAACTGCTGGACAAAATGGGTTCACACAGCACAATACAGTTCTTGTGGCTTTAATGCGGTCTCAGATCGATCGTGTGATGGATCACAGTTCTCTTGTCATAAGCAATTCAGGCCAAGGGAACCTATCTTCATGATGTTCGGTCTGAGATACACAATCGCTGTTTAATTAAGGATACTCCCCTGTCCACACAAAACTTCAACAAAAGCTTTCTTTTCAGTTGCTTATTCCACCCACTCCTCCGCCCTCTCCAGGCCATTGATCTTCAGAACGTATGGTCAGAAATATGCACAAATTACAGCTCGTCGTAAGTGCCCGGATTGCTCCTACTTGTCAAATCGACCAGCATGAAGAATCCAGTTCAATCAGACTTTGCCCTCAATGCATCAAAAGGTCGAGACATGGGTAGCACAGCGCTCGTGCACGTGGGTCTCACATACTCACATATGTGGCAGTGTGTGTCTACGCATACGGCAGGGTCGGGGCATCCCTCCCCCTTTTTTTGCCGTGAGGACACAATCAGAAAGGCGGCCCTGAGGACAATATGGACAAGAAGGTGCACAAAGATGACTGATGGGGTCAATGCGGAAAAAGGAGGGGCATAGCAAACCACAAGGGTGATTATGGAGACGAAGACCATGCATGGAGAAGAAGACCACACATCTAGATGGAAAGGACCCTGGAGAAAGCAACTAAGATGGAAGAGCGATTAAACACGGTTGATCTACTCAATGGCAAAATCGCTACACCAACAAGGGCCGGAATCGCCTAAAAGGGTCCAATTGGCACACCTGACCTCAAGCTGCTCCAGGCCCGAGGGTTCGGACGAGGAATGGTGAGAATACAGCGGCAGAATGCATTTAGAAGGAGCAGGAAACATGGAAGACTCCAAAGCAATCACAGCTCATGTAGTGCGGTCAGTACCCTTTACCTTTCTGACATGAGTAATGTATACAGAATGAGGGAGCAGGAAACATGGCAGACTCCAAAGCAATCACAGCTCATGTACTGTGTCAGTACCCTTTACCTTTCTGACATGAGTAATGTATACAGAATGACTTGGCCCTGATGCTCTATTGCTGCCTGCAAAGCCAGAACAACGAGGAGAGCAAGAGCAGATAGATGACGTCAGATCCACAGCCAGTGTCGGCACCTTCCTTTCCCTCCCATGTTCCCCCAAGTGGCATTGACCTTTTTCCATTTCATCACTTACACGTGCACACATGTACACACACACACTGCTCTTGCCCGGTCCGTAAGTACAGCCGCCCACCATAGGCAACACCTGCTCCACCATCATAGGCAGGACTTGCTCCTCCGTGTGTCTTACCGTGCAACCTCACACACGAGTGGCCACTGCCTTTCATGTCAGTACCTGGCAGAATGTTGTGCCAGTGAGTATTCGGGAGCTAATGCGGTCTTCCCCTTTTCCTTTTCTCTCGCCTCCTTCCCTCCTTTCCCTGTTCCTCTTCCCGTTTTCTCCAAGTGCCGAACTGTTAACCCCATATGAATGAGCATAACAAAGAAAACAGGCCAAATATAAGGTGCAAGTGTGCCTGGAGGCAAACGGGTGTGTGCATCTCCGCTCAATGTAAGATTGCAAGGTAAGGTTGTTCCAATTTTGAATCAGTGTGAAAGGACTTCATGCGTTTCACCTATAAGTCCCAGGCCCGGTCCCAGAATTCCCAAGGCCAGCATCCCATGTAACAAAGCCCAACCGGTAGGCCCTTAGACCAAAACGCAGCTGTAGGGTCCAGCTGCATGTAGAAGTCTCTACTAGGTCGAAGATAGTCCAGTCCCAGACAAAAGTGTCAGTCCCAAAAGTAGCAGCAGGACCCAAGTAAGTCCAGAAACATCTGGAACTGACAAAGCAGCCATGGCCTACCGGCCAGGGACCGTTACCAGTCGGAGAAGATCCAAGATTGTCAAGTGCAGCCAGTTAAGAAATGGAGGAGGATGAGGAGGACTGGACAACCGAAAAGGATGAGGGAGATTCTGCGGCACCCCTGACAAAAGAGGGGAGCAGCAGCATAGGGGAGTATAGAATTGATGTATCCCTAACAAAGACTCAGTCGGACCCGCCGGGAGAGTCCGCTGATTCTATGGAGACTGGAGGGTCAGGCACCTCTTAGACTTAGCTTCGGTTAGCACATCGCAGCGCTAACGTCACGCTGCGTCGCCGCATCGTGCAACGTCGCTAACCTCAAGCCCGGCTCTCCGCGTGCGAATGTGGAGTACTGCGCCATGTGGGTTGGGGCGCTGCCCAGCACCTAGGCACGAGCTTCTTAGCTGTGTTCCAGCCGCGATCCTCTAAGAATGTGTTTCGATTTCAGCCGGGATCTATCCAGCTGTTCATGATAGAGGGTGGGATAACGCCCACAGGTCGACGCATCCTCTACGAGTTGAGAGAGGAGGAAGGGTATCGAGAGTGGAGAAACGGAGGAAGGGAATCTGTGAGACAAAGACTCGTCTGAAGATTCGAAAAAAGATCTGGCCCTTCTATGAGACAGCGTCACGACAGCATACGACAAATCTTCAGGGCAGGAGAAAAAGCTACTGGAAACAGTCATCGAAGAGGACCACGGACGTGCCTTTCCAATTACGGAAAAGGAGCGTTACGGCCCCGCT